TGGGGGGGGGGGGGGGGCGTAGTCTGCAAACGTACAACATACTGTCTTAACCTGAAAGAAAATCAATGCCAAAGGTGACTTTGGTTGAGCTACGAGATTGTCGTAGGCATATGTCATGTGGTACAGTGACTAGAACCACACTTATATTCTACTTATGGTTGTGAAAGTAATCTTTGCTCTAAACATCAGTGTCCCAGTCCCTTTTCAAAGCTCATCAGGAGACCAGCCAGCAGCATGCAGCTTGTTTTAAGCAGTGCCAGATACCCTGTTTGCTTATTTTTCCCTTTGGATTTGGCATCTCAAATACAGAAGACCATGGCCTTCATCCAAACTTCAGGCTTATCTCAGGTTCAGGGTATTATAGATTGTTCCCATTTTACAGCATGGAACCTGACCCTTTGGCCCAACTCATCCGCACTGACCAGACATCCCATCTGACCTAGTACCATTTGCCAGCATTTGGCCCATATCCCTCTAAACCCTGTCCAGGTGCCTTTTCGATGTTGTAATTGTACCTGCCTCCACAATTTCCTCTGGAGGCTCGTTCCATACACACCTAACCTCTGCGTGAAAAAGCCCATCCTCAGATTCTTTTTAAATCTTTCCCCTCTCACATTAAACCTTTGTCCTCTAGTCATAGAGTCATACAGCACAGAAACAGACCCTTCAGTCTAACCAGTCCATGCCAAACAAAATCCCAAACTAAACTAGTCTCACTTTTCTGCTCCTGGCCCATATCCCTCCAAACCTTTCCTGTTAATGTATCCATCCAAATGCCTTTTAAACGTTGTAATTTTACCTGCATCCACCACTTACTCAGGAAGTTCATTCCACACGTGGACCACCCTCTGTGTAAAAGAAATTGCCTCTTGTGTCTTTTTTAAATCTCTCTCCTCTTGTCTTAGAAATGTGCCCCCTAGTCTTGAAATTCCCCATCTTAGAGAAAAGACAACTACCATCAACTCTATCTATATCTCTCATTATTTTATGAACTTTGATCAGGTCACATCTCAACGTCCTACTTTCCAGTGGAAAAGTCCCAGCCTACCCAGCCTTTCTTTATAACTCAAACTTTCCATACCTGGCAACATCCTGGTAAATCTCTTCGGAACCCTCTCCAGCTTAATTATATAATTCGTATAACTGGGTGGCTAGAACTGGACATGGTATTCCAGAAGAGGCCTCACCAATGTCCTGTACATAATATCCTAACTCCTATACTCACAGGACTGAGCAATGAAGGCAAGCATGCCAAACACCTTTTTAACCATCCTGTCTGTCTGTGACGCAAACTTTAAAAAATTATGTACCTGCACCCCTAGGTCCCTCTGTTCTACAACACTATCCAAGGCCTTACCATTAATTGTATAAGCCCAACCCTTGTTTGTCGTACCAAAATGCAGTACCTCGCATTTATCCAGATTGAACTCCATCTGTCATTTTTCAGCCCATTGACCCATTTGATCAAGATCACTTTGTTATCTTATAAGACCTTCTTCACTGTCTACAATGCCACCAATTTTGGTGTCATCTGCAAACTTACTAACCCTGCCATCTTTATTGTCATCCAAATCATTTATCTCAATGACAAACAAAAGGGGGCCCAGAACTGATCGCTTTGGATCACCGCTGGTCACAGGCCTCCAGTCCGAAAAGCAACCCTCCAACATTACTCCGTTTCCTGCCATTAAGCCAGTTGTGTATCCAGTTGGTGAGCTCACCCTGAATCCCATGTGACCTAACTTTACTAATTAGTCTACCATGCAGAATCTTGCCAAAGGCTTTAGTAAAGTCATCAAGACAATATCTACTGCTTTGTCCTCGTCAATCATTTTGGCAACTTCCTCAAGTTAGTAACTGCCCCACTCTAGGATAAAGACCTTGGTTATTCACCCTATCCATGCCCCTCATGATTTTAAAAACCTCTATAAAGTCACTCCTCAGTCTCCAATGTCCAGGGAAAAAAGGCCCCAAACTATTCAGTTTCTCCATGTAGCTCAAACTCCAGTTTCAGCAACATCCTTGTAAATCTTTATTGCACCCTCTCAAGTTTATTAACATCCTCCCTATAGAAGGGCGACCAGAATTGTACGCAGTATTCCAAAAGTGGCCTCAACAGATGCAATATGACACCCAACTGCAATGCTCAGTGTTCTGATCAATGAATGCAAGCGTGCCAAACACCACCTTCACCACCTGTCCACCTGCAACTCCACCTTCAATGAACTATGCACCTGTACCTCTAAGTCTCTTTGTTTGGCAACACTTCCCAGGACCCTACCGTTAATGTACAAGTCCTGCCCTGATTTGCCTTACCAAAATGCAACACCTCGTATTTATCTAAATTAAACTCCATCTACTGCCTTTCGGCCCATTGGCCCATCCGATTAAGATCCTGTTGTACTCTGAGATAATCTTTTTCACTGTCCGCTACACCACCTATTTTAATGTCATCTGCAAACTTACTCACTTTACCTCTTATATTCACATCCAAATCATTTATATTAATGACAAGAACCAGTGGATCCAGCACTGATCCTTGTGGCACACCGCTGGTCACAGGCAATGAAGTTGTTAACTCTGAAGTTCAACAAGAAATCATTTCACTCATTCTACATCTAGGAGCTCTATGAGCATAATTTGGACTTTCTGCATGTGTGCACAAGATTTCCGTGCTGCTGCCATGGCTTCTTTATACTAAGGAGATTACAACTCCTTCATCAGTTTTAGCCACCAATGCAGATCTGGAGTTGCTTTCATTGTACAATAATGATGCCCCTTTAGGAACCCGGATTCTGAGGTATAGGGCAGTTACATTAGCAGCCATGTTGCCACCAGATGTACCATACCACTGGCTGTTAGCCTTTGAAAGATGAAACTTAGAAAATAGGAACAGGGAGTAGACCATTCGGCCTTTTGAATCTGCACCACAAAGCGATTCAGGCTTTTCAATCATGTAGAACTCTCCATTATGTCCCAGCAAAGATATCATGAATCGTCACTATACACGCTGAACAATGTGCAGCAGAAGTGCCTTCAAATAGAGATAGGAGCTTGGGCACCTAAATTACCCAATTTGTTTCTCCATAATAACACCACAATCAATCAGAGTCAACTTCCAACTGGTCCCACCCTTTTCTCCTCATTATTTTGTTTAAAACTTTGCATTCTTGCATTTTTCTGATGAGTGCAAGACTGAAAGCTTTGGCAACACGTTTCACTTTTCAACAATATTCCAATTTTGTGCTACCAAGCAACCATTTTGTATGTTATTATCCAGAAAATTCTTGAATGTTCCTCTAAGGTTTTTAAACGCATGAAGATTTCCATGTTAAGGTTAAGATCTGGAACAAGGCTTAGAAATGTGCCAAGTGTTTTTATGTGAAGTTAAAACTTCCTCTTTTTATATAGTATTGTTTTCATTTTGATGAGTGACCTATTTCAGGCAAATAAAATGTAATTACCACCACTTTCTGATTCAGAATGAAAAGGTTAACTTGACCTTGGAATGTTAAAAATGTTCAATTAATTATTTTTCCGAGGCATTCACAATCAGTTGAATCTTAGCACAGCAAATTTATTTATACGTCTTACCCGTAAGCAAATCCCTTTAAATGCTTCATCATGATTAAGTAAGTCAGAGTAGCTGAGCTCTGCAAACCGAGACAGCCCCAAATTTAATCCCTCATACTGTGCTGAGTTAGCTGATCACCAACAGGCTGATAGTTATCCTGCAATTGGCATTCATGTTTGCGATTAGAAAAGAAAAATTTGATCCACATGCAGGCAATATTTGTTTATGGATTGGACAAGGCTGTAATGACTCCTGTGATTTAATGGCCTGCTGACTTTCACTCTCATAGTTGACATCAAATAAGGCTGTAAAATTTGTATTTCTAAGGACTGCATTTAAAGCAGCCATGGTGTGGGGAGCATGGTGACAGTGCCTAATTAATCACAGGAGAACACACATGGCAACAGGCTAATGGGGAACTGTACATGTTCATGACAAGTTGTCAATTAGACTCATTATTGAACTAATTGACACCAATTATCTGTAAGCTCACAGGAATTTAGTGGGGTGCTCGCTTTGGCAGCTGAAATACTAAAATTGGAATAATACAGAGACGACTAGCATGGCCCCTGCACAAGGATAATACGCAAATTCGTGAAGCATTCTGAAATAACTTCACAGGGGTTGGGTCCCATCACCAAGTCATCCTTTCTTTACTAGTGCACAGTTCACTGGCTGTGACCAACCAGCTCAGAGTCAGTCCTCAACTGAGGAGGTTCTAATCTCCTGGTTATATTGGTTAGCCAAGGCTTTCCTGCTTGGCCCAGGTTGACAATCCCAATCAAAACCCTCAAAGTCAACGAGGTCTACCTGGTCCCAATCACTATACATTCCATATTTAGGAGTCCTTTTGTGGCACAGAGGTAGTGTCCCTACTCCTGACCTGAGAGACCTGAGTTCAAGTCCCACCTGTTCTGAGGTTTGTAATAATATCTCTGAACAGGTTGATTAGGAAAATAGGTTAAGTAAAAAAAAAGGAATTTAGTGAGCTTGTCCGTGTTGCGGTTCTATGGTTGGGGTTCCCTTTTTTTAAAGGGATTTAGTGCCATATTAAAAGACGTGGCATCAGGTAGGAGTGTGGCTTTTGGCTGGGGTTGTGGTGGATGCTGTAAACCCGTGTCATTGTCTCTGATCTATCTGCCCTCCCTCTCCTATGAAGCCTGTTTGTAATACACATCATGTCCTCCCTTCTGTGTGCCTGGGTCCCTTGGTGAGCATAGAACATAGAACATTACAGCGCAGTACAGGCCCTTCGGCCCTCGATGTTGCGCAGACCTGTGAAACCAATCTGAAGCCCATCTAACCTAAACTATTCCATTATCATCCATATGTTTATCCAATGACCATTTAAATGCCCTTAAAGTTGGCGAGTCTACTACTTTTGCAGGCAGGGCATTCCACGCCCTTACTACTCTCTGAGTGAAGAACCTACCTCTGACATCTGTCCTATATCTATCACCCCTCAATTTAAAGCTATGTCCCCTCGTGCTAGCCATCACCATCCGAGGAAAAAGGCTCCCACTGTCCACCCTATCTAATCCTCTGATCGTCTTGTATGTCTCTATTAAGTCACTTTTTAACCTTCTTCTCTCTAACGAAAACAGCCTCAAGTCCCTCAGCCTTTCCTCATAAGACCTTCCCTCCATACCAGGCAACATCCTGGTAAATCTCCTCTGCACCCTTTCCAATGCTTCCACATCCTTCCTATAATGTGGTGACCAGAACTGTATGCAATACTCCAAGTGCGGCCGCACCAGAGTTTTGTACAGCTGCAACATGACCTCATGGCTCCGAAACTCAATCCCTCTACCAATAAAACCTAACACACCGTACGCCTTCTTAACAACGCTATCAACCTGGGTGGCAACTTTCAGTGATAAAGCTCTTTCAGAGCATTGCATTTTCCTGCCCTCGGCACTCTTGGCCTTTGATTAGCTGGCAACTTTCAATGGATAGAATTTCATTGTCTGGAATCCTGAATCCTGTGGAAGGCCTGAACTAGCCAGATAAGAAAAGCACCCAATTGTGTCTTCTTCAGAAACAATGCAGATTTCCCACTGGTTCACTAACTAGTGGCTGAACATACATCAGTTTTATTAAATTTCATCCAAAGGACTATTTTGTTTATACGTTACTTGAAACTTACATCATTGAGTTAAGCACGAGTAATAAGTGTTTATCTTTATCTTTATGTTACATTCAGTTAAGGAAAACCTAGTTGAATTAGACTTGTTAACTATCTCTGTATTGTTCTGATGCTTTTATATTTACAGTGGGGAGCCATTCTCAATAGATCTGCCCTATTTTGCTTTTATTCATTGTCTGAAAATAGCAAACATGCAAGATTAGCATTCCATGTTTACATCACTACATTAGGCCTCCCCACTCCATACATATAAATTCCTCTCCTCTGTATTTAAGTAATTCTGCAGTATTCATATTTAACATTAACTCCCCACTGACGCTGAACTACCTGTTGCTGCCACTTTAACGCACCACCCTGTTCACTGGCCAACATCTCTGTCTGTGGCTTGCTGCAGTGTTCCAGCGAAGCTCAATGCAAGCTGGAAGAACAGCACTCATTTTCCGCTTGGGGACCCTCCAGCCCTCCGGACTCAATATCGAGTTCAATAACTTTAGGGCGTAAACTCTCCCATGTCCCAGCCCCCTACCCCACACACCAGGCCTTGTTACCACATAGCCTGCCATTACACATCACCTGTTGTTAGTCACTAATAGTCCCCATTAACAACTATTCACCCTCCCAGCTTGATCGTTATCAACTCTTTGTCTGTCCAACTGCTCTTCTCTCTCTTTAGGCTCTATCCTATCGTTTACTCCCTACCCAATCCATCTCCCCTATTTTCTGCATATAAACTGATATTTTCCCAGCCACCATCAGTTCTGAAGAAGGGTCACCGGAACCGAAACGTTAACTCTGTTTTTTCCTTCACAGATGCTGCCAGACCTGCTGAGCTTTTCCAGCAACTTTGTTTTAGTTCTATTTTACTGGCTGAGTCCCCTCATGTAGTTGGATTTTAATCTGGATTTCTCAAAGTTTTGCTTGCTTTTAGAGTTGTTTTTATTATTATCAAATAGTTTCAAGTTAAGATAAATTATACTTTTATTTGACACTGTATTCATCAAATGATATCACTTTATTTTCTGTTGCCCCTTTGTTAGAAAGCCACATTACTGATGAGTAAAGATTGGAGCAAGTGCTCACCTCATCTGTGGCCAGAGAAAAATGGTAAAAATGCCTCCAGCAATGGCTTTTCTTCCTGTCTACTTTACAATCTCTGGAGATGTCCCAAGATCTATCCTTGATCTCCTCGTCTTTCTCATCCATATGTTGCATTTTAGCAACATTATCTGAAGATAAGAAGATAGGTTTGACATGTGTTGATACCCTCCAGCTTTATCCCTGCATGACTGCTCTCGACCCTACAGTGTCTGTCTGTGTCAACTGTGCTTGTGATAAATCCATTCATGGTTGATCATCAATTTCGTCTAACTATAAACATCAGAAAATCGAAGACACCATTGCTGAGCCCCACCGCAAACTCTACAGCTATAGGATGAACAACACTGTCCTTTGTAATTACTTTTCACCCCTCTGCATAACTTAAGCAGCAGCAAAAGCATTTTTGCCAACAAATTGGATGTTTTATGTACTTAATCAGTTGAGCTAACCCTTGCTTTATTCATATTAGTTATGTACCATTGAAAGTATTGACTTTAAACCCCATCCCTCGCACCATCCTCACTTCCTTCACCATCTTACCCATATCCATTTTATGGAAAGAGCTCTGTATAATAACTGTTGGAACCCATTGAATAGACAATGAGACTCCATAAGTAAGCAAGAAGATACTTCAAAGCAGCTGTAGAAAAAACATGAGTCATTTGTAAAAGAATTAGTTTTTTGGATTGTAGCCAATACATCATGAAAACTTTCTAAGTAAACAAAGATTTCAGGTCTGGGGAAATCATGTCTCCTAGAAATGGCAAGATGGGAGGCATGAGGAGTGGCATTTAATTAGGCAGAGTGGTAGCATACCCGTGTCCACTGGAATTAAGTTTAAGAAGCTGGGAATGCTGAGATTATGTTCTTTATGCTGAGTTTGTATTATTAGTATCCTACTTATCTTGAGCGCTAATCATCACATGGCTTCACTCCTGAACCTGAGACAACTAAGGCAAACTTTGAATGCATTAGTTAATTTAAAATTACAACTCTTTCTCTATGAGTTGGACATGGAAAAATCATAAATCTGTTTATGAAAGAAGCATTTACAATTTTGTACAAGATAACATGAATATTTGTTCGCAGTAAGCATCATAATTGTCAATATTACAATTTTACAAAGTTACGTGCAGCTTAGTGGATGTCACCTGTGGTTCACATGGGAGTACTGTCACTTCTGAGTCGGAGGTTTGTGACTGTAATACAGTCAATAAAAACTGATACTGCAATGTAGTACACAAGAAATGCTGCACTCTGAGAATAAGACGTTAAACTGAGACCCAAGATCTGGTGGCAGAATTTCAAAAAATCACAGTGGAGTGATCCCAATGGTTTCAGGGCCTTCATTTATCTTTTGTTCCGCATCGGGACAAAAACAGGTTTTTATCTGACCATTGTCACCTCGATGGCTGTGGGAGTTTGCTGTGCACAAATTAGCTGCGGAATTTCCTACGACAGTGACAGCATTTCAAAATCACTTATTTGCCTGTAAATTGCTTTTGGAACATCCTGTGAATATGAATGGTACAGTGGAAATACGTATTCTTCCTGTGATACCAATGCACAATATGAACTGACACCAGTCAACTAGCATCCTAATCCTCTCATATGGATCAGAATATGCAGCTTGAGGAACATTCTCTTCAAGAAAAGCTGAAGGATTCATTAGCACTATAGGTATTTTACTGCAGTAAAATCTTTTATAACATATGGCAGATTTTTATGATTTTGCAAATTTAATATTTCCAGTTCCCACACATAGCATTAGATTCCAGCACTAGTGCATAATAAGAATATTAAGTATGGATAAAGGAATAAAGCTGCCCACCTTGCCAACCGCATCTAACACTGAGGTCTGCAGTTCAAAGTGAAGCTTCTCATGTGATTTGATTCTTTCAAGAATTCAGCAAGTAGGAGAAGATGTGGGCTGGAGTGGGGAGGTGGGGTAATGTGTTTTCACAGAATGTCAGGAAGAGCACCAGACTGTTTGTCACCATTTATTTTATAGAACATAGGACATCGATCAGTACAGTATAGGAACGGGCCATTCAGCCCACAATATTGTGTCAAATATGACGCCAAATGAAACTAATCCTGCCCTTCTGCCTGCCATTGGTCCATATCTCTACATTTCTTGCATCTTCACATGCTTATCTAAAAACCCCTTAAATGCCCTTATCATATCTGCCTCAACCACCACACCTGGCAGTGTGTTCCAGATTCCTACCATTCTGTGTAAAAATAACTTGCCCCTCACATCTCCTTTGAACTTTTCCCCTGTCACCTTAAATGCGTGCCTCCTAGGATTAGACATTTCAACTCTGGGAAAAAGATTTTGACTGTCAACTTTATCTATACATCTCATAA